ACATCCTGCCCTCTCTAATTTTGTTTGAGGCAGGTCTCTCTATCTAGCCCTGGCTGGCCTAGAACTTGCTATGTAGACCAAGCTGATGTCTAACACATATAGATCCACCTGCCTCTGCCTCCTGAGTGCTGGGACTAAAGGGGTGTGGCCACCATGCCCAGCCTACAGGATATTCTAAATTCCAGGTTCATTCTCTTTCATTGGTGAAGATTGATTGTATAAACTAATGGATTTCATTATGGCATTTTTATTCACATATATATTGTACCCTCCCACTGGTTCCTCTTTCCAAACTGTCCCCTTCTACTGTTTTTTTTTTTTTTGGTCTTTTTGAGACAGGGTCTCCCTGTAGCCCCAGCTGTCCTGGAACTCACTGTGTAGACCAGGCTGGCCTTGAACTCACAGAGATCCTCCTGCCTCTGCCTCCTGAGTGCTGGGATTAAAGGCGTGTGTGCGTCACCACTCCCAGCTTCTACTATGTTTTTACACATCTAGATTCTACATATAAGAAAAAACCTGATCATTTTCTTTTTTAAGTCTAGATTATTTAACTTAACAAGATAATCTTAAGTTCCATCTATTTTCCTGAAAATGATATAATTTATAACTGAATAATATTCCAATTGGCATGTAATGAGGGGTATAGCTTGATCATGTGAGTAGTTCTCTTTTTAGTTTTCTTAGGAGCCTCCATACTCATTTCCATAGTGGCAGGACTAATTTACATTCCCCAACAACAGTGTATAAAGGTTGTCCCCATGTCCTCAGCACAGCTGCCCTTTATAGCTGACCTGACTTTACCCTTCTGCCTTGCTATGTGGCAACACTGTTCCAAAGCTTGTCAAACTCTCCACTGACACCAAATCCCTGGAAAGACATCCAGCTCACCAGTTGGAAAAGAAAGAGATGGAAACACTTATTTCTCAGGTTACATGGGGCCTGGCTTTTACCAAAAGGGGAAAAAAATCCCCATTAAAGTAAGACTTGTTCAAGGACTTTCCTTTCCTTTGCTTTCCCTCCCTCTCTTCCCGCTTTCTTTTTCTTTTCTTTTCTCTTTCCTTTTTGTCCTGTAAGATCCAGAATCCACCTCTACTGACTTTAGGTCAAGTGATAACAGAGAAGCAGAATTGAAAATGTTTATAGTACTTGACTTACTCAGCAAAAGAATGGTTTATAAATGAAGATGATGAGGAAAACTAGGCAGCTGAGCCTGCGTCTTTAACTAGGTGACAGCCAAGAGTCCATAAAATGAGTTTGAAGGGTTTTGCATGACTCTGGGGACCAATGAGAAACCCAGTGAGTCTAGTGGAGTATGGTGAGAGTTACCTGAATCCCAGCACTCAGAAAGCTGAGGCAGCAGGATCATGAGTTCAGTCACCAGTGCAGACTGTATTACTCACTTCTCTCATTGGTAGTCTCAAAATACCTGACAGAAGGAACTCCAGAGAGGAAAGGTTTATTTTGGCTCCCAGTTTCAGAGGGCTGCTGTCCATTGCAGTGGGAAGAAGATGGCAGAACTCATGACCATGGAAATATGTGCCATGTTCTTCACATGGCAACTTACAGGAAGCAAAGACTCCAGTCAGAACCAGAGACAGGTGCAACCTTCAACGGGCTGCCCCTAGTGATGAACTACCAAATCAGTCCCAGCTCCTAAAGAATCCTTCAAAATAGTACCACCAGCTGGAGACTCAATATAATGTTCTTTCTTCTCTGGCTCATTAATGGATCATGGTCATCTCATAACAAAAAATGCATTCAATGTAACTTTAAGAGTCCCCAAAGTCTTAACAGTCTCAACATTGGTCAGAAGTCTCTTCAGAGATTTAACATAGACTTTTACAATGGCATAAACATTTCCATTCCAAGGCAGGGTATGGTGGCTCATGCCTTTAGTCCCAGCACTCGGGAGGCAGAGACAGGAAGAACTCTGTGAGTTCAAGGCCATCCTGGTCTACATAGTGAGTTCCAGGCCAGCTGGGGCTACAGGGATGCCTCAAAAAGACCAAAAAGAAGACAGAGAGAGAGAGAGAGAGAGAGAGAGAGAGAGACAGAGAGAGACAGAGAGAGACAGAGAGAGAAAGAAGAAAGCAAAAAGCAGTTCCATTCCATCCCTTCCAAAAGGGAGGAGAGGAAGCACAGCAGGAAAGACTGCCCCAAAGCAAGATGGGAGCATAGGAGGGTGCACATTAAATCAGATGGCTTCATGCACAGCATCTGGGACACATGGTGGAACAATGTGAACTCCAGTGGTTCTGAATAAACTGTGCTAGCTGCACACACAGGCTCTCTCAGGCCAGCTCCCCTTAGTGTCTACCTTTCTTTGCCAGATGATTACCAGTGTCTTCAACACTGCAACTTGGGCTTCCCTTTACCAGATTTGTGAATCAGCCTTTCAGGACTATCTATAAGAAATCTGCTACCCAGGCTTCATGGGCTTTTCTCTGGGATCTTGGTGCAAGCCCCCATGAACCTATAGTCACAGGATCAAGTTTAAATATAGTAACAATGCTCCGTGATACCAATACTCTGTATTAGTTACTTTTCTCATTGTCATGCTCAAAATACTTGACAGAAAGAAGATTTATTTTGGTTCACGGTTTGAGAGGGTTTTAGCCCGTCATAATGGGAAAGGCTCAGCAAGCTCACAGCAGCGGGGGTGCATGGTTGGGAGCTTGTTAGCATGGTGATAGACAGGAAGTAGAGACTACTGCCAAAACCAAGGTCTAAAAGCCATCCCTTAGTGACCTACATTTGACAGCCAGACCCTACCTCCTAAAGGCGCCACAGACTTCAAAATGGTACCATAAGTTGGGGACTAAGTGTTAAAACCATGAGCCTACGGGGACATTTCAGGTTCAAACCATAAAACGGGCCAGATTTCTTTGTTTGACTCAAAGGACTCAGTTTGACTGAGAAACGTTTCCATGTCTTCCTGACTTCCTTGTACTGTGCTAAACAGAAGAGATTCCAGTGAGAACCAAAAGCACTTCAGGGTGTGTTTGTTGAGGAGGCTAGATGGAGATCAGCAACCTTGAACATTGCTCTGGGCGACCTCTAGGTCTGCCATCTCCAGCCTTCTGAGACCAAAGCAGACAGAAAGGACAGGAGCCTGGTGACCTCAGGCACCAACTGGCCCTCAGTGTTCTTAACTTCTCTACTGAATTCACTCAAGTACATTTAAATAAATTATAAGACTTTGAAAGTATATTTCTGTTCCTCTAGAAATTACCTCTGAATCTTCTAGTAAAAACGTCTGCCAGCTTTGTTCAGCCAAATTCCTTTCTCCCTTCTTTTCTTTGACAATGAAAGCAGCTTTGGTGCCAATACTTAGATCTGGCAGGTGTCTGATGACACATGTTTGTGCTAAATGTTGGTTACATAAGTTCATTCAAAAGCTACCATAGCTTTTGAGGCTTCATTGCTGCTTAACATAAAACTGCCCTTGAAAACCAGATGTCTGAGACACTCTACAAAGATCTATTTCACTCTTTCTTCTGGGTTCTTAGGGTTCTCTTTGACATCTGGTGCAATGGAACAGCATGGTGTCTAAATCCTGACTGCAAGTAAGCTGTGTGGTCTTAGGAAAGCCACCTCTCTGTGCTGAGCTTTAGATCACTCCTTTGTAAAATGAAGAGGTAACGAGAGCTGTGATTCTCAAATCTCTGACACGTCCTGATGAGAAGACAGGGCTGGGGAACATTTCCAGTGAGGCAGAAACACACAGTTGCTTTTTCTCATTGGGAATGTGTTTTACATAGTGGAATTTGCTATTTTTCTTACAGGCTTATTCCCCAGGGGGGAATGAGGGCCCCTCTGCCTGCAGCAGCCTGGGAGAGAGTGGATGCAGGATATGTGGAGGGAGGGGCGACTAAAGAAAGGTAGGCTGGTGGGAAAAATGGACAGACAGCATTACTGCCTTGACTTTCTAACACTATGTCTGTGATAATGTTATGGTAGAATGAAAGGACTTTCAGGATAATACTTAAAGTCTAACAAGCCCAGGGGGAGGGCACTTAGAAACTTCCTGTCTCATAATTATTCCACATAACTCATTCAGAAACTTTAATTCTGTACAATAGATTACTTTAGAAGAAAGGTAAAAAGCCTGCAAATGAAGAATAAAAATTCACACTTTCTACTGGTCCACCTATTAATCCCTGTGCTCTGAGACACTTGCATACATTCTACCATTTGTTCTTGGAAATAACCCTGTAAAAGGAAGCACTGTCACCACCTTATTTTTCTAGGTAATAGAAACTGAGGTGCTAAAAGGCCAAGCCACTTGCCAGAATATTCAGGTGGCAAGGCTGAGTACTATCCCAGATCCCTTACTGTTGATCCAGACTGAGTGTTGCCATGCTCCAAAGCGTTCTTCTGCTCCACTGGAAGCCTCTTTGGCCTCAGGCAGACAGCATGATCTGCAAGCCTGGATCAGGGCTCATCTCTTCCAGCTCTTAAGGGCTAATGTAGAACGACAGGCTACCAGAGCTGTAAAGTTCCCTGAACATCATCTGACATTTCTGCTCACCTGAGTACCTCTGCTCTCTGGTGCTCTGGGATCCAGAGGTGGCAAAATGATCACTGAAATCTTCCCTTTCTATCTCTTAATCTTCCAGACACTAAGCATCAAAAGCCAATGGGATCCAGCAGGTCCATCTCTACACAAACAATTAGGAGTTACTTTTTGAAACTACTAATCCCACAGGCCAGGACTGGACTGAGTTAACTTTTGTCTTAGTTTCTTCAGGGACTTCCATTAGCCAACCTAACTAATAAAAGATAGAGGGACTAAGGCAGAAAGAAATCTGACTGCCCATGAATCATTCAATCTTGACCTTCGGCATGTTTTGAAAATGTGTTGTGAAATGCTTTTTAATCAATACATCATCAGGCCGCAACAAGGCTGGGGGTTATGCAAGAGGGGAAGCAGAGCTTGTCTGCTGGGTCATTTGAAAGGCCACAAGTTCCTATTGAGAGCAGAGCCCCAAAATGCAAGGTCCCCGTAGCAGTGTCAATGGAATCACAGAGAGAAGCAAGGATAAAGGTAGAACAAAAGCAGCTGCCTTTCTTTACAGTGCATCTGTGAAATGGGTAAGTGCATGCTCACATACTCATTCCCATGCAGGACTGTCCTTTTCTATCAAAGGTTCAGACCAGTGTTAACCCCAGATTTCAGCTAGTCATCTCTAAGCTTCAGCCAGTAGCCTAATCTCCAGGCACTGTAAGTGTCCTTCCTAGGTGATGGAAGCAGCTGGCGAAAGGGGCAGGTGCACAAGAGCTAGACGGTTGAAGACAGTCCAAGGCCCCTCTGATACTTGAGGGCCTACAACCCCAGGAGTGGTCCCATCACCTGTCAGATCATCAGTCTTTTCCTTTCTACCAAGGAAAGATGACATCTGCCCCACAGCGCCCATGAAGCTCAGAAATAATGAAGGATATGAAAATACTTTGCAAGCTACACAAATGTGAGAAACTATTAGTGGAAACCCATCAGTGAGATTTTGCAAGCTCAGATGGAAAGAATCTCCCATTTAAGGAATGGCACTCAGGTATGACTTGTGGTTAGAAGTAAAACTAACCCCAAAGATGATCCTATGCAGATAATAGAGAACATTTGAGCTCCAGCTGGTGCTAGTCACAGTTAGCTGCAAGCTGGTGGCTGGTAAATGTTTAACAACTGGTTCTATGGTAGTGAAAACCCCTGAATATAAGATTTGTTGAGTTCTATTGTGTAAGTACTTGCAACGTGGCCTACTGATTTGAAGGTATCAACGAGACATCAATAATCACAGAGTGAGGAAAAGCTGCCCACAGATGACCCTCATATGTGGGTGCAAGCTCTGCCTCACCACTGGAAACTTCTGAAAGTTTGATTGGTACAATATATCTGGAAGCCTCCTTGACTTGTAGAACTCGAGCCTTAGCAGTCAGTACTGACTCTCCTCCTCTAATAACTCAGAAATGGGGATTCTTCCCTTTATTTAAATGTGTACTCATCATTATTATATAAAACCATAGCTGTAAATGTCTTTATAGAAATGGTTGGACCTTAGAATATAGTCCTGTCATTGTAGAAAAAAACGATCCTTAGTTTTCTAATTTCATGACCTTGGGGTTGAGCAAGCAAGATAGAATGAAGCACAGCAGGAAAAGGGACTCAGAAGTCTGCTGTCAGTAATCTCATCTGTGAGACCTTGTACAAGTTGCCTGTTTTCTCTGTGTCTAGATTCTATCTATAGAATGGGGCTAGCTCTGCCTTTGCCTTCCTCGCAGGCTGCTTCATGAGCTCAGAGGAACTAGCACAAATACGAGAGTTTAGAAAATAGAAAAAAATTTGATTTGCCTTTGAATTGCTACCACTCACTTCAAACACTGATTATCAGCTTCATTATTGATAATAATTATTGGTCTGTGCTGTGGTAACCAAGCCTTGTACGGGAACTCAGGTTATGTTTCTGGAATGTGAACCCAAGTACAGTTATGTTAAGCATAGTTGTGTTCAAGCAGAGTTGTGTGACATGAACCAAACCCAGGGACTGTTGGAGAGCTCTATTGCCTGCCTGGTGCCTAGGGACATTAGGAATTGCTTTTGCTCACAAACCTTCACACCATTGATCCGTGGAGGTTAAAAACAATGTCTAGCCCAAGCTCTATTACAGGAGAGCTTTGTCATAACCAACAGCCAGGCAATGGTATCTGTTTGAAAATATGCTCCAACCAACTTAAAGGCCAACTTTGAGGCTTGAGCGTGTTTGTTGCAAGGACCTGGGAATCTGCATTTTAAATGTTAATTCAGTTACAAGCAGAACTGAACAAAGAACTCTGCATGGTGAAAACTAGAGGGAGTAGAATAAAGAAAGGATGCTCTGCTGACTCTATGCCAGGCACCGTAATGCTTCTTGAGGGAAGTCCTACTTGTGCCAGGGAACCCTCATAAATCACTTCCAGGTTGAGCTTCTTATTAGCACATTATTACCCTAACCACCAAGCCACACACTGGATGGTCAAGATGCACAGCTATCCCTGGAAAAGGCACACCAGAGGGCCAGTCACCAGGGCTTCTGTGAAGAGTAAAACCACTCACTGTCTGCTGCCAAGCTCCTGCCAAAGCCCAACACAGAGGTGATTTCAGATAGATTTATCTAAAACCCTGTTTATCCACCCACTCATCCGGATACTTTAGAGGAAAGCTCTGTTAGTCAATGCCATGTCTCTTAAACCTATCATACTAGTCTTCAACATATTGCAAACTGAACCTTACGGCACCATGTAAAACAGTGTCCTATCTCTGTAACCATCCATCTTAGCAATAAATACTTATCAAGCTCCAGCTACAGGAGACAGATGTATAGAGTTGGAAATTTAGGGTGAATGAGGTTTCTTTTCTGTCTTTAATCATCTTAGAGGATTGATACTAAGCAAACAGTCACAGCAGTTAATTCAGTTATGTGTTAATTATGGTAGGACTGAGACATACACAGGCTCTAAAGCATTCATAGGAAGGAGAGCCTAATTTTGATGACCATTGCCAAGGGGTCAAGAAAATTTCCTAGAATAGAAGAAAAGCAGGCTTGCAAAGAAGAGAGACATCCAGGCAGAAGGAATAGCCTGGGCAAAGCATGCTTCATGTGTAAAATGGGGAGGGAAGAACAGTAGTGTGCATTGAGGGAACTGCAGCCTGAGCTAGTGGAACAGAGAATTTGTAAGGCATGTGGCAGCAGGTGAGGCTAGAATTAAGCAGGTAGAAGCACTCATGTTCCCAGAATTGAAAGCAATAGGCAGCCTTTGAAAGATTCCTAAAAGATCAGGTTTGTAGTTTTTAAAATAATTGAGTTTCTAGAGACTGATTGTGGAGCCCGGTTGAAATAACAAGGCAAGTTGAGAAGCCATTGATTGCAGTAGTTTAGGTGAAAAATGGCAAGGCCCTTGACCATAGCAGTGGTGATGGGTTGAAAGCAGAGAAAGGCTATCAATGGAGAAAGCAGAGTCTCCAGGACAGAGTGTGGACAAGAGATGCTAGGAAGGGCAGCTTGCGCATGTGATGCTTTGACTAAGGTAGTGAACATGGGATGCTGGACCAATTTTAGAGAGAAATTAAGAAATGTACTTTGGAATATATTCAGTTTGAGATGATTTGGGTATATACTGGTAAAGAAATTAATTCCAAAGTTTACAGCATCTTACAGAAAACTAGAAACATTGACTCAAAAAGATCAGCCTGAAGGTATGAGGAGGAAGCCCAGAGCAGAGGCGCTCCAGCCTGGCCCTTCTCCTGCTTCTCAGCCACAGGGAACACCTTGCTCTCAAGATGAGGCAATGCTGTGACAAGAATAGCATGAGTTGGGTAAACTCAGAGGTTATTCAGGGATACCCTTAGGCTTGTGGGAAAATAATGCAATATCATAATAGCAATTTTTATAATTGAGAAATGTTCTCCTTACAGCCTTCAGTGTCCTGAAGTGACAGGTAGGTTGGTCAGGGACTGTGGCTATTCACCCTTTAAAGGTATGTGATCTCACAGAGTTTCTTGGTTCCCATGTAGGAAAATCAGGGCTATACTCACTTCTTTTTCTATGACGGTTAGAAAGGGTAGTAACAAGAGTGAAATGGTGCCCTTTAGTGCCTTACATCCTAGGGTTATCCATTTATTTAGTTCCTTTAAATCCTTCCAGTATGAGCAGATCATTTTAAGGCCTCTGGGTCCCTACACTCCAGTCCTAAATCAAAGAATGGAAATCAATCAACTTTAGGGTTTTTTGTTTTGTTTTGTTTTGTTTTTCAGTCTTTTTGAGACAAGATCTCCCTGTAGCCCCAGCTGGCCTGGAACTCACTTATTTTATGTGTATGAGTATATTGCCTAAGTGAATGAAAGTGCACCCATGTTGTGCAGTGCCTATGGAGGTCTGAAGAGGGTGTCAGATCCCCTGAAACTGGAGTTTCAGACAGTTGTTAGCTGTCATGTGGGTGCTGGGATTTGAACCTGGGTCTTCTGCAAGAACAGTCAATGTTCTTAACCGCTGAGCTCTCTAGCCTCCCCCCCCTTTTTCTTTTGTTTGAGACAGGATCTCCCTGTAGCCCCAGCTGGCCTGGAAATCACTATGTAGACCAGGCTGGCCTCGAACTCATAGAGATCCGCCTGCCTCTGCCTCCCAAGTGCTGGAATTAAAGGCATGCGCCACCACACCTGGCCAATTTTAGTTTTAATGTAAAAACAATCAAAACAAAAATCCCAACAAAACTTAAGAATATACTAAGAAAAGTTTTATATGACATTATATATATCATTACATATGTACATAAGTACAATTTCCACTTGTCAGTCTTCGAATCTCTTTTACTGGAAGGCCATGAATTGCCTTCCTTTATTTATCTCAAATCACTGCACTGTTACTTTTGTGAAAACACTGCCTTCATTTCCTTGTACAAAGAAATTCAGCCCTTTCTGACTCCAGAACACATCACCTCCATCATAACACCTGACCCTCACAACTGCCCTCCCAGGCACTTTGGAGAAGATGTACTGCCCCATTTCACAGATACAGAAACTGAGTTTCAGAGAGGGCTACTGAAAAGTCATGCTGCCTGTGTAGAGTAAAAGGGGGCCTCGTGCAATGTGCCCCCACAGTGCCCTGCAGCTCAGAATCCTCCCAGGCTCTCAGAAGAAAGACCTCCTTCAGGCTTCAACAACTCACTTACTGGCATAGTGAGATGCTAATGATAGAAGCCACCAAATGGCTAGGTTTAACTAAGCTGACTTCCTCCCTCACTGATGCATTCGGCCACTTTGCCCCACAAAGTCAGTCATTGGTTGGCCCCTCTTCCTTTCCCTTCTAATAGAATTCATCTGCTTCTAGCTATACAGAAAAGAGGACTGAGAACAGCCACTCAAAAAGAAGCAATCTAAATCATTTTAAGAAGAGTCAAGAAGTTCAGAAGTGAGAATCAAGGGCTCTCATTAGAGCCGACTTAGAAGATCTTCTAAACCATGTGGCCATGTGTAACTCACTGCACCTCTCTGAGACTTAGTTCCATCTGCAGATTGGGTCAGTAATAGCCCCTGTCCAGCCTCACTGCATAGGCTGGGTATGAAG